AGGGCCACGAACCGTGTGACGGGTGTGCCAAATGGGGTGTCGGGCGCATGAGGACCCTGCCATTGGGGCCTTCGGTGAAGCTCTCTACGGGGTCACGGGGTGTGCCAAACTGGGTGTCGTCCTGCTGACGCTCAGGCTGCTGGCTCCAGTGTCGAACGCAACGCAACCATCCCCCCCAAGGGACCGTTGCCTTTTGGGGGCCGGGGGGAATCAAGGTGGGGCCTCTCAATGCAAAAGCAGAAAGCCACGCAGTCAAGGAGGAACCCCCAAGGGACGGGGTAGCTATCTCCCCTGGCCACCCCGCGGTGGGGGAGGGGACGACGGAACTGCTGCTGCTGCTCCTCCTCCTTCTCCTCCTCCTCCTCCATCTGCTCCCCTCCAGATCCCCGGCGTCGTGCTTTTTTTCCAAACGCGGGACAGCCCGCAGGTGTCGACGGGCTTCCCGGTACGGGTGAGCCGCCCTTCAGACTCGCCCCCAACGATGGAGCCCCGGAACAGCAGGGACCCGGCACAGGGGCCCTTCTGCCCAGGCCGAGCACGGCCGAGGGCCTTCCGCCGTGATTCCGCCCCACGGCCCGAGGAAGCCTAGGCCGTGGGGCTCCCTCCAAGACCACCACTTGAACGTTTTCTGATCCGGCGTGGCGGCAGTGGGCGGAGGGGATGGGGGGAGGGTGGCTCCGGACCTCTGCTCAGCAAGACTGCCTGCGACGGTGCGCCCTCGTGGGGGAGAGGCTCCGCCTGCTCGAAACGGGCGCCAGCAGGGGCCGAGATCTGCTCCCACGGAGGGAGGGGGGGGGATGGGGCGCGAGGGCCCGCGCCGATCGGCAAAACAAGGAGCCAGAAAACAAAACGAGGACCAGGCGCATGCTGCTCCCATCGTACTCAAGGACCACATCCCAGAACTAATTTCTAGCACCCGGAAAAGTGTAGAATTACCCTGTGACGTACCCAACCCATTTGTATCAATGGAAACGAGGAGTTGGCCGAAACTTGTATGGACAATCAACTTGATGTGTAAGCTACTTGGGAGGCGTCACTGTGCTGGGCCCCGCAAGCAGCCCTCGAAAGTGGCGACAGTTTCACAGATCGCAGCCCCCCAGGGATGGCGAGGTCCCATTTGAGTCTGCGGTGAGTACCCACTGTGCTGGGCCCCTCAGCAGCCCTCGAAAGTGGCGACAGTTTCACAGATCGCAGCCCCCCAGGGATGGCGAGGTCCCAATTTGAGTCTGCGGTGAGTACCCACTGTGCTGGGCCCCTCAGCAGCCCTCGAAAGTGGCGACAGTTTCACAGATCGCAGCCCCCCAGGGATGGCGAGGTCCCATTTGAGTCTGCGGTGAGTACCCACTGTGCTGGGCCCCTCAGCAGCCTTCGAAAGTGGCGACAGTTTCACAGATCGCAGCCCCCCAGGGATGGCGAGGTCCCATTTGAGTCTGCGGTGAGTACCCACTGTGCTGGGCCCCTCAGCAGCCCTCGAAAGTGGCGACAGTTTCACAGATCGCAGCCCCCCAGGGATGGCGAGGTCCCATTTGAGTCTGCGGTGAGTACCCACTGTGCTGGGCCCCCCAGCAGCCTCGAAAGTGGCGACAGTTTCACAGATCGCAGCCCCCCAGGGATGGCGAGGACCCATTTGAGTCTGCGGTGAGTACCCACTGTGCTGGGCCCCTCAGCAGCCCTCGAAAGTGGCGACAGTTTCACAGATCGCAGCCCCCCAGGGATGGCGAGGTCACATCTGAGTCTGCGGTGAGTACCCACTGTGCTGGGCCCCCCAGCAGGCCTCGAAAGTGACGACAGTTTCACAGATCGCGGCCCCCCAGCTGGCACGCAGCGACGAGCGAGGCAAAAGGTAAGGGGGAAGAGAGGGGCGGGAAGGAAGGAAGGAAGAAAGGAGACGCGCGAGCAGTGCTCTATTCAAAACGAGAACCCAACGCAGGAGGGTTGGGAAAAAGTTTCGAAAGAGTGTCGAAACAGTGTCGGGCGAGTGTCTCCCAGGGCCCGACACGTGAAAACCCTACACTTTTCTGGCGCTCGAACTTTTTCTCCCCGGTGATCAAGGCCAAAGTAGGTTGGAACATCATAAGACCAGGCTCCCTGCCGCGCTCGGCGCTGAGCGACGCTGGAGGAGAGCTGGGGCGTGTGATCACCCGCCCTGCCGCCCTGCCCGGGGCTGGCCCTGCGCGGCCGTCGCTGCCCAGACTGGTGCGTGGGCTTGTCTTCCACCACCACAACCAGCAGTAGGAGTGGGAGGGGCACCTCCTCCTCCTCCTCCTCCTCCTCCTCCTCCTCCTCCTCTTCGTCCACCTCCTCCTCTTCGTCCACCTCCTCCTCCTCCTCCTCCTCCTCCTCCTCCTCCTCTTCGTCCTCCTCCTCATCCTCCTCATCCTCCACCTCCTTCCCCCCTCCAACATGCGGTGGTGGTGGTGGAAAACAGGCCCATGCCTCAGCGTGTCGCAGCGGCGGCCCAGGCGACACGCCCTGCCCTGCAAGCGCACTGCGTGTCGTGCCGCTCCGCTCCGCGGGGCGGGAGGTTGTCAATGGGGCCCAAGGACACATAGAGAAATACACACAAATCCCAGGATTTCCTATATTTTACCTTATGTTGTGGGTTTCTGTCTTCCCCCCTACTTCCCATATGTTCCCATATTTTCTTGGACATCGACGATGCATTGTGTCTGCATGTTTTGTTTCCCTCCTGAGGCCGGAAGGAGCCCGGGACCTCTTGACGCCTGGGGGACCCGGACGTGGTCAGCGCGTCGCGCCGAACCGTGGCGGGCTAGAACCGGCGGAGCGACACGCGGAGCAGGAGGTGCGGACCAGTTCGCCTTCTGACCTAAAAAGCGCCCAGACACGCGGCGTCCTGAATTCTTCCACGCGGGGTCCCCGGAAGCCCCGACTCTTTTCCCGGGGCCAGCTTTTCATCCCGAGAGTCGTTCTCTGACGGTCCCACGGCACGGCGGGGGCCCCCCCCGAGGCCGGAGGTGGCCAGAAGCCTCCCGTCCGGATCGTTTTTTTTTTGCGACGCGATGTCATGTCTGGGCATCGGGGAGGCAGACTTTCGGATCGTCCTCGGGGTGCTTGTATGAAACGGCCCTGGGACACGGATGCCCTCGATTTGCCGTACTTATGGGTTTTTGCCTCCCCCCCCCTTCCCATACTTTCCCACATGTTCTGGGGAATCGACGATGACTTAGGTCTGTGTGTCTTCTCCCCCTTGTTCTGGGCGCCGTGAGCGAGGACTCCGACAGGCCACGGTTTTGAGGCGTGGCGCCCCCACGAGACAGAAAGGCTGCAACCGTGGACCCGAGCATGCTCCGACCGCTCGCTTCGCTTCTGCTCCGTTCGGATGTGTTACGGCAGCATCCTGGTGTGCAGGCGGGCGTTGTGGGAAGCACAAAGACATACTAGTACTATATGTCCTCCTTGGAGGCGCGCGTCCGACCCGAACATATAGTATACCCATCTTGTAGTATATCGTTTCCCGAGCGGTGTAGCCAGAAAGCGCCCCCCACGACGCATATACTATAAGATTTCTCGGTGCGCGCGTCGCCTCCGGGGGGGGCGAAGCACATATAGTATAAGTATGTTAGGGTGATGCCGACGTTGACCTATGGGAACCCCAACATAACGAACGAGGCTCCTTGCTTCCATGAGTTAGATGTTGTGCTTTCTCAGCAGCCGGGCGGAGGCTGGCAAACCCGTGGCTGCTAAAACGGAGCTCCGGTATTTTTGTTTTCCCCCGGGAAGCAGCCTGTGCACTACTTAGTGCGCTGAGCTTTACTCTCGGCGCTGGACAAACCTCCCTTTAGTAGACCTCCCCTTAGTGAAAACGGCCTGGGACCGAAACCGATGGACCTGGACCCGCAAAAATGACGGCCGAGACGCCCTCCCGCGAACCGAAAACAGCCAATGCACTAATTGACGTGTCAGGGTAGGAGGTCGGTCCAGCCCCGATACTCAAAGAATTTGATTTTTTCTTCCGGGAAGACCGTTTCAGCAGCCACGGATTTGCCAGCCCTCGCCCAGCTTCCGATTTCCCATCGAACACCTAGGGACAACCTGCGGCAACCTGCACAACACGGAAGGACAACTCAGCCCCTCCCCAAAGGAAAGGGGTTCCTGCTTCAGCGCCCCGACTGTACAGTGTCCATGCTCCGGGAACCTGGCTTTCGGACTAGGTCGGGCCTGTCCCACTACAGGTGGATTTTTCACGAACAATGAAAAACATCCCTACACATAATCAAACGATAATGAATAAGATCGCCCCCAGACTATTTGTTGGTTGATTATGTTTGAATATTCCCCAACCTGGCTTTAGGAAATTATGCTGGGTCTTCGGCAGCCTCCTGGCCCCGGAGAGCCTCGAAGGTCTCCGGGGCATGCAGGCTCACGATTCGGTGCAGGAGCGAAACTCACTATCCCCCTCTTCTCTCCTCGTTCGAGTTGACCCAAAAGGGGGTCCAGCGGCAAGGGGGTGGTGCAGAAGATTTGATGCAATACATTTGTGGGGGTGCGATACATTTTGAGGCGCAAATGTATTGCTGTAATGTCGCGTGCAATACATTACTTGCAATGCAATGTAATAATATTCTCCGGCGCAATACATGTGCAATACAATTGCCCCAAATCTATTGCACAACCCCCTTTCAGCTGGACCCCCTTTCGGGTCACCCAAGTTCATTCTCCTCCTCCGAACCTCGTCCGTCCACATGATTGCGCAAACCTTGTTCGGGGCCCGTGTTGCCCCATCATCCTCACGCTGACCATCATTATACCGTATTTCCACTGGTTCACCGCAGTTGCTAATGGTCTGGAGCACGCCCGAACTAATGTCACAGTATCCTCCGCTGCACCTGAAACGCCCCACTGCTTACGGACGACAATGGGGATGATGTCCCTGCTTCTTATCTGTCTGGGCCGCCCACCATGACCCATACATGCGACGTCCCTAATGTTTTCGATACGGGGTCCCTGGAAGTCCAGACCCTTTCCCCAGGACCCGTTTTTCATCCTATGGCACGTGATGCTGGCACCGCCCGTATGGTAGACAACTGGCACGGCGGCGTGCCTTTGGCACCCCGCTCGTCGCAGTCTCGGCTGACTCTGGGCGCCGGTCGTACGTCGGGCATGTCCCTCCACAGGAGGAATATTCAAGAATGGTCAGAAAATAGTATGGGGACGTTTTGTCGTGTGTTTTTCGTTCGCTATTTCTGACTATGTTTCGACTCTTTGCCATGCGTCTCCCAAAACCCGCCTGTAGGAGGACATGCCCGACCGAACGCCTGTTCTCAGCGACGCTGTTCGCCGCTGGCTGCCGCCGCCAGGCTCGGCGAGACAAGCGAGACGCGGCGCGGCTGCGAGAACGTGGATGGGGCACTGCAGAGAAGGGCGACTGGCATGTGCTCTCCGCGAGCCTCACGAAGGCGCGCCACGGTGAAACGTGTGGGAAGACATACGCCGAGCATGCCAACAAGAAGACGGCATCTGGGAAGCGGCCGCGAGCGTGGCTCAGCGGCCGGCGCCCCACGCTGCCGCGGCCTGCGTCTGGGCCTGGTACGTCGTCAGGTCCCGGCCCGGCTGCCCCAGCCTCGCCGCCAGCTCCGCCTTCGCCCGGGCCCCGCGGAGCCGGTGGAGGGCCGCGGTGGGCATGGCGGCGGGCACGCAGCCCTCCGCCAGGCGAGGCGTCAGGCTCGCCCTCGCGGCGGCCTGCGCGCTCGGCGACGGGCCTGGTAATGCTGCCTCCGGCGGAGCGCCCGCGAGGCGGCCCAGGAGCGCCGAGCAGTCGAGGTTCCGGCGGTGAGCCACAGCCTCGGGGGGCGTCTCCAGAAGGAGAAACGGCGCCATAAGCATGAACTACTGGCGCTCCGCGCGGATTCCTTGGATCTGCGCTGGGCCCCCCCCCTCCCTGGCGCGCGACGCGCGCCAGGGGCGGCGCCTGAGGCGCCGCCGGGGGGGGGGGGGGCCTGCGCGGATCCAAGAGATCGGCGCGGATCCTCGAGCGCCAGAAGTTTATGTTTGTGGCGTTTTTTCTCCTTCGAGTCTCGGCCACGGGCTCGGGAGCCGGCGGCGCCCACGCGAAGTCCCGCTGGAAGGTTCCGACGTGAGGCCCCAGGTGCGCCGAATTCTCGCAGTTCCGGCGGGAGCGCGGGGTGACGACGATTCGTTGAGCCGCCGCGTCGTCCGCCACTGCTTCGGCAGCGGGCCGGGGTGTACGAGCCCTGGGGTCTTGGCATCCGGTCAGCCAGTTGGCGTCGATGTGTCGTCCTCCACGACGCAGCCCTGGCTCTCGCGGCGATAGTAGAAGAAGGAAAACGCCATAAGTATGAACGGTGGGCGCTCCGCGCGGATTCCTTGGGTCTGCGCCGGGCCCCTGGAGCGCGCCGGGAGCGGCGCCGGAGGGGCCGCTGGGGGGGGCCAGCAAGGATCCAAGAAATCCGCGCGGAACTCCAAAAGTTTATGTGTATGCCCCCAGAGATCCGATGTCGTGATTTTTTCAATACGCGGTCCCTAGAAGTCTCGACCGTCTCCCCAAGACCGGTTTTTCACCCTGCGTAGTTTTTTGGCGGTCCCGGGGCCCGGCGAGGGCCTCGAAAGGTCGAAATCGGCGAAAAACCTCCGTCTCGATTTTTTCAAGACGTTGGATCTCTGGGCCGTTTTCTCTTCTTCTTCGCGATAACCAGACCGTCTCCATGCGGGTCCTCCTCTTGAACGCCTCGTCGGCCGCCACGCACTGCGTCCTGGCAGCGGCTTCCCTCGGAGGCGCCGCCCGGCCACGGGCGAGGGGCAGCTCGGGGGGATTGCCGAGGCTCGGTGCGAGGGAGCTGGCGGACGGCCGTGCCTGGCGCGCCTTGGGCGGCGCAAAAGCCCCAGACCCCCTCGGGTAAAGAAAAAATCACGACGGGAGGTTTTCAGCCATTTTCGCCTCGGGGGCCCTCGCCGGGCCTCTGGGCCGTCAAGAAACGACTCAGGGTGAAAAAAAACGGTCCAGGCGAATGGGTCGAGACCTCCACGGGTCGACGCAATGAAAAAATCATGACGTCGGGGGTCTGGGAAGGGGGGCGGGGCGAGCAAGGTGGCCTTCTAAGAGGGGATCGGTCGATTCTCAGGAGAGACCGGCCGCCTCCATGGAGGCTTCCAGGCTTCTCATTGACGGTGGGGCCGCTGCTATGAGGCGGGGTGCCTTCTGAGAAGGTTGCCTCTCTCTCACCGTCCCCGATTGCATGTTGCGGGCGCCTCTTCTTCGGCTGCACTGGATTGGATCGGAATCGCAGCCAGAGACTTCTTCGGAACCATCGTGAACGCCCGGTAGGGAGCTGGAAAGTAGGCAGGGCTGGGAAACTCGCGCAACGAAGTGCTCCAAGTCTGCAGAACAGGGTTGGTCACGGGCCGCGAACGCACCATATCCACGCTCTCGCGGCCTGGATTCCGCAGGGCGATCCCACGGACACGAGTCGGGGATCTTCTGACCCGGGTCAATCCAGACCCGGGTCAGTCAGGCCTTGCAAACTCCTGCAAGATCCTGCGCCCGAGCCCGGGTCGATGCGCAGGCTCCTGCCAGGTCCTGCAGGATCCTGCGCCCGGACCCGGGTCGGTGCGGCCCCGGCCCTGCAGGCTCCTGCAAGATCCAGCGCCCTGGCGGACCCCCGCCCGCATCGACCCCGGTCTCCTGAGCCCCGAACGCGGCCGCATGGGCACATTCCGGGCGGGGCCTCCGCGAGAAGGTCCTCGGTCTCTCCACGCTCGTCGCGGCCCGGGGGCTTGGCCCACGAGGCCGTGGATGTACGGCTATGAGTTCCCCCCACGAGCGTGATGAGGAGTGGGCGGGGGAGGGGGAGGAAGGAGGGTGACAGGGGGGGCACGAGACGGCGAAGGAGGTCGGGAGGGGAGGAGGGTGGAGGGCGAGGGGAGAAAGCAGAGGACAGTGGGCAGGACAGGGAGGCATGGGAGCAAGGGGAAGCAGGGAGGGCGAGGAGGGAGAAGTGCAGCCGTCGTGCTGCCATGAGGTGCGCGACGAGGCTGTTCTGGCCATGGCGAGCCCAGCCACGAAGAGGATCCCCGACCTAGATCTCAGCAACGGCCCGGACACCGAGGCCCATCCTGAGCCCCAAGTGGTTCTATTTTCAGCGCCTCAGGAGCCAGGCGGCGGATAACGTTGGGCGCCCCCAGGAAGGTCGCGGTCTGGATAGGCCCAGGAGGGGCCAAGAGGAGGGTGGTGTCTCCCACAGTCGGCCCGTATCATCAGGATGCACGATGAGGATGCAAAGCCCCTGGACGCCCATGTCCAAGCTTTCCGAGCGGGGTGCGGCCAACGAAAGTAGTCAGGGATGGACCGTGGAGGCAAGGATGCGAGGGGACCCTTGCGAGGGCTGCCCATCCGTACCATGCGGGTTGACTGTGGTCTCTCACGTTGTGAAGCCACTCTCCCCGCGGCCAGGACATCTGAGCAACTCCCGAGGCTGCTCCGATCCTTCCGATGCCGCCGGCGACGGTCCGAGGCTGTCCGAGGCCCCTCCGAATCTGTCCAGGGCTCTTCGCTGTCCGAGATCATCTGGACGCCAGAGGCCAGCATGCTGCAACCGTCGGGTCAGATGTACAGTCAGCTCGTATCATGAGGACGCCGGTGAGGGTGCAAGGGCACTGGACGGCCACGTTTCAGCTTTCCGAACGAGGTTGGCCAACCGAAGTGGCCAGGGATGGACCGAGTAGGCAAGGATGCAAGGATGCTCTTGGGAAGGTTGCCCATCCTTACTATGCGGGTTGCTGCGCAGGGCCAGGAGGAAGAGGAAAGCAGGAGGGGGGACACGGAGAGGGGGAGGCACTGAAAGCCCGACTCAACCTGCCATGCATCTCCGACTACGTGACCTTTCACCGACGTGGGCCCCCAAAACTCTCGACCCCATCCCAGGACCCGCCGCGGCAGACTTCCGGCCATCCCCGTGCCCAGCAACGCCGTCAGGTGAAAAGACGTCAGAGAGAAAAACAGGCAGTCGCGATTCTTTCGGGGCTTCGTAAGCGGGGGCTTAGCTAAACGGGGACCTCGGCTTTTCCATGTGCCCCCGTGGACTGTCTCCCCCGTCGACGGCGCCCGCGGGGCCCCTTTACACGGGGGCATGGCAGAGCATTGCAATCGGCGTTCTCCGTGCCCCCGCTCGCTGTGCCCCCGTCTCCGGCGCCCGAGTTCTTCTTATCGAAGGGGAAAAAAACAAACCTACCTCGCTTTTGACCACCCTCGCTTCCAAGAGATACCAAACGATGCCAAACTACGGCCTGTACTGGTCAGGCCGCTTGACGAGGAGGCACGTGGTATGGCTTGGTTTTGCCTGGAAGCGAAAGCGGGGTAGGTAATTCACGCTCTAATTATCGCCACGCGTGCCCGGCTGACCATGGGCCCCCAGACCTGTCCTGGACACCTGGACGCCCGGTCCGACACTCGAGGCAGACCTTCGGACGCGGCGGCGCGGACGCTGCACAGAGACGGCCCAGAAAGGGCCAACGCCGACAGGTCCCTCCCCCATGTCCAGCTCCCCCCCCTTTTTCCAGATAGCTCCTCTCCCCCTCCTCCTCCTCCTCCTCTTCCTCCTCCTCCTTCTTCCCCTCCCCCTCCTCCTCCTCCTCCTCCTCCTCCTCCTCCTCCTCCTCTTCTTATTTTTCTTATTCTGATTATCCTTCTTCGTCGTATTATAATTGGTATGATTATCATTATCGTTATTATCATTATTATTATTATTATTATCATTAGCATTATTGTTATTATTATTATTCGTATTAGTATTAGTATTATTATTATGTTGTCCCCCTTCTCCTCCTCCACCTCCTCCCCGTCCTCATCCTTCTTCTCCTCCTCCCCGTCCTCCCCCTCATCCTCCTCCTCATTTTCCTCCTCGTTTTCGTCGTCGTCGTCCTCCTCCTCCTCCTCCTCATCATCATCATCGTCATCATCATCACCATCATAATCATCATCATCATCATCATCATCATCATCATCATCATCATCATCAGCATCATCATCATCATCATCATCATCATCATCATCATCATCTTTATCTCTATCATTTTCATAATCATCATCAACAGCAGCATCATCAGCAACATCAGCATCACCATCATCATCATCATCATCATCATCATCATCATCATCATTAGCAGCAGCAGCAGCATCAGCATCAGCATCAGCATCATCATCATCAGCATCATCATCAGCATCATCATCATCTGGCGGGCCGCGCTTTTCGCCGGAGAAATCCTTATAGAAAGAGTCGAATCTGCAAATTGCGAGCACTTCCGAACAGTTGCACGGATGGAGCACAAAGGGTTTTCAAAATTGTGCTCTCGCAATGGCGCCACGCACACTCGTCTGCACCGCAATCCAACAATGCAAAGATGGAGGAAGGGGGGTCAAAATGGGGCTCCCGCCTCAGCGCTGCGCATATTCTTCGGCAAAGCCTGCGACATGTGCACTGATGGAAAGCGGTTCATCTTCAACATACGCCTCCCGCTTCAGATTGCCTCATCTGGTAGATCCCGAACTCTGAACGTGGGCAACGCGTGCACGTTTTGGAGGCCAGACCCTTCTCAGAACGGGACGCTCGCTGGACGCACCCTGCAACAGTCTGACCCATATGGACGCAAGAGCCATGGAAGGCCATGTAGGCACTTCGCAAGCGGGGCGCTGCCTGCCAGCGAACGCGGGCAAGGATGGACCGCAGGGGAAGGGTACAAGAGCATCCTCGGCAAATGCTCATCCTTCCCTGACTCCCGACGTCATGTGTTTTACAACGTCGACCCCCAGAGGTCTGGACCCCTTCCCCGGGAACGGTTTGTCATCCTGAGTCGTTCTGTCGACGGTCCCGAGGCCCGGGAAGGGCCCCCGGACGCCGGAGCTGGCGAACACACCTCCCGGCGTGCGTCCTTCACAGCGCGAGGGGGTCTGGGTCACTACGCGGATGGACTGCACCCCTCTGCATGTCGTGTGGCCGGCATGGTGGAGGAGGGGTCCGTCACAGGACGGGCCCCGCGCCCGAACGGCGCGGGCCCATGGGGCGCTCGCGTCTGTCCAGGGGGAGGGCTCCCCGCAGTGGAGCGGACTACCTCCCTGCAGACTTTGGAGGAGAGGGAGGGTGCACTGCAACACTCTTGGTGCATCTTGAGGTTCTTCTCCTCCTCCTCCTCCTCCTCATCATCCTCGTATTTCTCCTCCTCCTCCTCCTCGTATTCCTCCTCCGCCTCCTCCGCCTCCTCCGCCTCCTCCCCCTGACTGGACGCCCCTTACACTTACCTGGCGCAGGCCATCTTGGACTCGCTGCAGCTGGCAAACCAAACCCGTGCGCCCCTGACGCACAACGCCGAGTGCCCCGGGCGGCCGCTCGGAGCCAGTGCGGCATCCCTGGACGGCCCTTGGCCACAGAACCTCGCAAAACGTGACCGGGAGGCTCACGGCGGTGGGCAACTGCTAGAAATTGTCCCTGGCCCCGAGAACCCCCAACGACCACTAAATCATATCGGAAACACCCGCACGCGTCGCACCGTCACCCCTTGGGGCCGCAGACTCGGAGGGGCTCGATGCATGCACCACGTCGGTCGGTTGGCCAAAGGCGAACGTGCTCGGCGAATGAACGCCGTGCACAAACGCCGCAGCGTCCGACAGCTTGTGGAGCCGGTGCGTCTACAGAACGAGCTCCTCAGCGGACCACCCGACGCGGCGTACGCTCCGAGCCCCTGCCGCAGGCCCGCATCAAGGACGCGGAGCACTTCGCCGCCTGGACTTCCCGCCACCGCGCAAAAGACTTTCGAGCCAGCGGAGCGGAGCGGAGAGGCGGGGTGCGCTGGCGCCCGGCCCTGGCTTCGGCCAGAGTGGCTGCGCGTGGAGGGCCACGCGAGGAGGGAGGAGGTGGAGGGGGGGAGGCACCCGTGCGAGCGGAAAATCTGACTCGAGTAAGCTGGCCCGAAGGCGCCTCACGGTGCCTCGGCAGCTGAAGCCGAAGCCAAGGCTGAAGTGCACGGAGCAGTGGAGGGGGTCCACCCTGCAGGTGAGGAGGGAAGGGGAGAAAGAGCAGCAACCGGGCAGGATGGCGAAGCGGAGGAGCAGCAGCAGGACGAGGAGGGCGGAGGAGAAGGAGAAGTTTTCAGGAGCAAGGTAAGCATGAAGTGGGCAGAGTGGTGGAAGTAGGGGAAACACGAAGAGCGAAAGAAGCGTGACGGGAAGAGAGAGAGAGAGAGAAAAAAAAAAGAGAGAAACAGCGAGGAGGCAGGAGGGAGAGCAAGCGGCAGGGCGAGAAAAATAATTGGGAGGTGGAGGGTGAGGAGGATGGGGCGGGAGGAGGCGCAAGAGGACGAGAAGGGGGTGGGGACGGGGGCGAAAGGCGGGGAGAGGAGGGGGGGAGGGATGAGGAGCAGGAGGTGTGGAAGAGCGGAGGGCAGGAGCATGCAGAGGCACTGAGTGGAGCTGCAGAGTGAACAGGCCGACTCACCCCCCCCAGCACGGATGCGACCCCCCCGCGGGCCCACCCGGCCCAGCGATGGCATCGGCAGATGAGATGGGGGCAGGCTTGCCGACCAGCCGCGACTGGGAACGCCGTGCTCCCGACCCAAGACAATGCAAGCCAAGACCAGGACCAGATCGGACCGGGACGAGTCCGGAATCACTGAGATCCGGCGACTCCGCTGGAGGGTGTATCGCGGGCCGCATCCTTGCCAGAGCGCTCAAGAGTGTGCTGAGAGCGTCCCTGGACGCCGCTCGGCTGGTGGAGCCCGCCGTGCCGACGACCTCCCAAGAAGGAGCACTGAGCACCGAAGACTCCCGCAAGCGTGCACTGTCACGGTCGGCGCCGAGGCTCTGGATTTCTGTCGGGCAATTCGCGCGGCCCGCTTGGTTGTTTCTCACTTGTGGTGCGCAGCGTAATCTGGTCCGATGGCATCCCCATGATCACGTCGTTGGCGCATGGCCCGCAGTCTCTGCAGCACTCACGCGGCGACACCCCATGTTGGAACACATATGATCGAGCGCCGTCAGTCCATCTGCATGTTGGCGTTCCCGGGCCCTACAGGGGGAGTTTGGGCGAGCAATAAAAAATAGTCAAACAAAAACTCAAAAACTCAACAAATGCTCAAACATAGTCAACAAATCGTTCCCAGACTATTTTTTGACTATTTTGGGATATTCCTCCTGTAGAGAGACGGGCCCGACTTAAGCCTTGCGCCAGAAGCCGAATCCCGAGCAGGAGGGCAGCGCAAGAGCGCCGTCGCGTGAACTGCTGGGGCGATGCTCGACGGGTGCTTTGCCTGCGTCCAGCCTCGCGCCTCGCAGTCCAGAGAGGGAGGAAGCAGCGGCGAGGAGAAGAGCAGGCGATGTCGGCCCGCTGAAGCTCTGGGACTTCAGCGCCCGCTCCGTGGTTCACGATTTGGCGAGATGTCAGCGCTGCAAGCCGCCAGCGCTCTCAGCCGCCAGCGCGCGCAACCCTGCCTGAGCACAGCGGCCCACAGATCGACGGTCCCCGGGGCCAGTGAGGGCCCCAGGAGGCCGAAAAGGACCAAACATTCCCAGTAGTGCTTCCTTCACGACGCAAGGACGTCAGGGTGCAACTCTAAAGGCCTCCTGGATGGGGTCGGAGTGGACGGGGTCGAAGGACCGCGCCGCATCGCCGATGCATCGGCGATGCACCACCGATGCATCGGCGATGCACTGGCAACGTCGGCGATACATCCGAAACGTCGGCGTGGATGCAATCGGGCCCCACATCGAGCCGCATGGCTGATGCGTCGGCGAAGCGGCGCGATCGTCCGACCCCACCTGCTCGGACCCCATCTATAGGGCAACAAGAAGCCACATGAACATAACAACTCGGAGGTCCGCGCGGATTTCTCGGATCGGAGCTGGACCCCCCTCCCTGGCGCGCGGAGCGCGCCATGAGCGGCGCTGGAGGCGCCGCTGGGGGGCCCCAGCGCCGATCCGAGAAATCCGCGCGGACCTCCGAGTTGTTAGATTTATGCCACTTCTTGTTCCCCTAATCTAGGAGGCCTGGACAACCTCAGCCCAGCGCGGAGAGAGGCACGCCGCCGGCGCCGCCATTTGGGGGCGCCACGGGGGCGCAACGGCCGGCGGAAACCATCCGCCGCCCGCCCCGGGCGGTCGAGGCCCTCTGCCCACTGGGGCCTGCGCCCGAGCCTGGCCTCCCACGAGCGGGCCTCGCGGGGGGCACCCGCGCCGCGCCGCTCTCGTGCCGAGGGGGCCCGCGGATATCCCAGCGGCGGTACGCCAGGGAGGCTCCCAGGCAAGTGTATAGTGACCTTCGGCTCGCCGCGGCCTCCGGGGCGAGCAAGGGGCGGGGGCCACTCCAAGCACGCAAGCAGGTACTGGGGGGGAGGGGGGGGCATACCAAACAATCACT